GATCCTGGAGACCTGGGATCGAATCCCACGTCAGGCTCCCGGTGCATGGAGCCTGCTTCTCCCTCTGCCTATGTCTCTGCCTCTCTCTCTCTCTCTGTCACTATCATAAATAAATAAAAATTTAAAAAAAAATAAATAAAAATAAATAAATATTAAATAAGATATCACATGTAAAGCACCTACCTAAATGCTGTGCTAAGAACAGTGCCTAGCACTGAGCCATTTGATACATACTTACTGAATAAATTAAGGAATGGCTAACAAATGCTGAGGTCATGTCAAGTGTTCAATAAATATCAGCTGTCCTTCCCTTCCCTCCCAAGGGCCCTCAGTATTTTATAAGGCACTCAGCATTGCTATATAAATATAGAAAACCACGGCCTTTTAAAATGCTAATTGCCAAGGGATCACACTATGTGCAGGCTTTGCTCGGTCTCTCTGTGCTTGCTATAAGTATACAAACAAAACTAATAGTTGCTTTCTAACACACGGAAGCCATGTATAGTCCCTTCCTTGCCATATTTTTCTGACAGGATTTCAAAATTGTAGAGGTGACCGTCTAGTAATTTTGAGTGATGTTTTCCACAAGCAAATCCATTTTGATAACCATCCAATTTTCTAGTATTGGTGAGTCAAGACCTAATATGTAAATTGTTCCCTCTGAATCAACATGAAAAATGATGTAAACTTTAAATACTTCGGAAACATCAATATCCCTTTTAAGGCATCCCTTAAACTTCTATTTCAGTATCCACCCACGCTTTTGTTTATGATTATAATATGTCCTTGCTTGGGAGTCTCCTCTACTCATTTATAGAAAATGAGTTGCTACCCTAAGCATTTAGGTCAGCGCATAAGAGTAGTGCTTTTGAAGTTCTCTTTGCAGGCTGGCCTTGGCGGCAATGGTAACACTGCATTTGTCTTTGAGGTTGTGGTCATTTTCCTTTTCAATAGAGATTTTTAGCCTAGCTGACTTTGTGTGACCAAATAACCAGGGAAGTCAACTTCTTCCCTCTGGAAGGTTCTATTGGAAAAAGGAAAGGGAGAGAGAGAGGGAAGGAGGGAGGAGAGAAAGAGGGGGAGGAAAAGAAAAAAGGCCCAGGAGAAGGGAGAGGAAGAGGAGAACGGGGGAGGTAAGGAAAGAAGGAAAAAGAATGAATAATAAGGAACCTTCAGCTCCCTAGGTGGCACATTTAAGTTCTAAAGGGTAAGCTCTATTTAAGCACATTTCCTGCCTTTGGTTATGTGTTATATATTCATATATATTCAATATATATTCAATATAAAGTTTTAAATATGTAATCTCAATCCTAAAGTCATTGAAGCACAATGAAAAAAAGGATGTTTAATGCAAAAGCCAATATTTGTAATACAGAATACACAGTGAGGTAGTTCCTTTGGACTTGAAAAGGGGAAAACATACTTTCATACTAGTAGCTAACACTAGTATGTTCTAGAAACTATTCTAGGCATCAGTCTCTTGCCTCTTGACATATAGTAACCTATTTCATCTTCCAACATTCCAGTAAGGCAGATAATATTATTCCCATGTTACAGAAGAAGAAATTGAGGCACAGAGAAGTTAGGCAATTGGCCCAGTGTTACACAACTTCTAAGATGAATATGGAATTTATCTTCTAAAATGAGGGTTTGGGGAGTAATAGTGGATGCTGTTCATAATAATACAAAACAGAGATAAACTGGGACTGACCTGGAAAAAACAAAACAAAACAAAACAAAACAAAAAAACAGGACATTATAGTTACCCTAAAATATCAGGATTTGAAGCTCAGGCCCAGATCCAGAGTCCTTACTTGAACCATTGTAGTAAACTGTGATTTTCCTCTGTTGGCTCTCTATGCCCATTATGTTCATCCCTCCAGCATTCATGCACACACTTTGGCTCTCTCATCTTTTCCTGCTACCTGCCTTCCATTCTTGTCCATGAAGCAACTGATACATCAAATTAATTACCTCCAACTTTTGTATGTGGACCATTTGCATTCCCTGGCAGGACGTTACCTGACAGAGCTGCCATTCTCCAGGACCTCAATTAGGGCGAAGTGCTAAAATCTCATGTTTTTCCTCAGAAACAAGGTTAGAAGCTCCACCCTGCTTTGGTGGCAAAACAAAAACAAACAAAAAGCAGCCCATATGCTTTAGATTCAACTGGAAAAATTCCTTATGCTTTCTGATGAGAAAGAATTTGATGCTGACTATCCAAATTCAAAATGAAGGTTTTAAAATTGCAAAATGAAAGTGCAGCTGGTTTTGCTCCAAGGTTTATCAGTGATGAGTCACCTATTTTTATTGCATAAGAAATCAAATCTAGTGTTGTAATGAAAACACGATACAGTAAATTTAGGATAATTCTTGGAGCATTTGAGATGTGCCTATTTGTTCAGGGACACTGTGTCCTTTGAGGTTTCTTCTAAGCACTTTAATCTTCTGTAAGAAAGGCATTTTCTCAGTTTTTGAGGAAAGATGCTCTATTATCTAACCACTCACAATGACTGGTTTTAATGCAGCAATTACTGCAGAAGCAGAGGATGGAGATTGTGCACTTATGCTTTGCATTTATGTTCCTTTGTCAGGACTGGACACATTTGTATAAAGTTGGCATACTTTAAGGCATTCATTTTTCATCTTACCTCTTTGGTATTCACTTAACATCTGAGCTTCCAAGTTCCCTAAAGACTGCATCTAAGTTTTATCTAAGGGTTTTGGACAGTTAAACTGGGTGAAAGAGGGAAGGGATTGAGGATTGAGTTGGCCCGAGTGACTGGTATAGGTACTAAAAGAAGGAGAAAATAAAAGTCATCTTTAAATTATTTTTGCTATATGGAAATAAGATTTCTTGTTAATCATGTCAGAGTCATGAAGAACCACAGTGTCATCTAAGGTATCTTCCTAGATACAAAATTTTCAGTAAACACATTATAAAAGGGATCTGACTTCATAGACTGATAAGATTCAAATGCTAGCCTTAGATATCGGTAGACATCATTTTTAAAACATGAAGTACTTAAAATTGTCATCTAATTGTACATTAGATGATCCTAATTGATTTTTATATTTATTAATCTAGACTGTGTTTAAAAGTACAATCTAATCTATATAGTCATAACTTAATAGCTAAAGTGCCTTTAACTGAAGAATGATTTCATCATGTGAGATACAAGCATGTATAGTTATATCACTTTGTATATTTAAGGGTATGGCATTAGACTAGAATTTATTCAAGATAAAGTGATCAGAGCTGGTACAGAATGTGCTTCCTCCATTTGTAATTTCTTCTTTTGGTTCATTTGATTTTTGTTTTCTATCCAAGGTGTATAGAAACAGAGGAATTATTAGACTTTGGGGTCCAGCAATCTATTTCTTGTTTATGTTCCTTTATGACAGAAACCAGTTGTGTGGCAGTCAGCAAAACCTTCATTTTTTTTCCATCAGTTTTTAGAGCAAAGAGGTGAAATAAATATCCTTTAAATATCAAGAAAACCAAAGTTAGAGTCAAGGGACTTGGAAGCAGATGAACTTAGTTTTGCAGACTGAATAAAGCATATAAGGACCCTTAAGAAAGAATGTGCTGTCAATTTGCTGACCTATCCATCTATTTGCAGTGGAGAATTTGGACCTTTCAGGACAGGTGAACTGGATTATTTATGGACAACAAAGACTATATTGTTTGAAAAATTAAAGAAACTAAAATAATTACAGCTGCTATCCAAAAACAGCATTTAACATCCATAACAAATTTATGTGTTACTCAGCACCCTCTTTCCTTCAACATTTAGTAACAAAATCCTTTTTTTAAGCTTATTATGTCAAATTACAAGCCAAATGAAATTCCATCCTATGCTGATAATGGATGTCTATAATAGCCTGAAAGAGCTTTAGTAAAGTACAATAATACATAACCATTTCAATTTGGAACTAAGCCAGTGGTGCAATATATTTATATAACTAATATTGTTAAATTCTTAATTTTCATTCTCTTGATTTAAATTACAAGTTTCTTCAGAATGAAATCCACTTATGAGGAGCTGAATGGTTTCTTACTTTAGCTTACTATTATAATAGCTTCTGTAGTTTTCTTTGATATCTTTCTATTTAAGGTTTCACGACATACCTGAAACTTTAATGTAGAACAAGTATGTACCATTTTCTTAATTGGAAAAGTATATAATCAACAAGCATTTAAGTATTCATTATTATAGTTTTATTACATATATGTGTGTACATAATTGTTACATAAAATAAATATTCAGGCATTAACAAACATATCATTCATGAATTTTTTCAATATATATTAAAATACTTATTGCAAGTAAAGACACAATTCTCCATTCAAAGTACATATTTATTACTTTCAATTGTGGGAGTATGTTTTAAAAATTTGTTATTGATCTCCTTAATGGATATTTCTGCATATGATATTGGCTCTGTGGTTATGGCATTACTTGTGCTTTATTATTTGGATTATCACAGCTCTGTCTCCAAGAGCAATATGACTTTGCTTTCCATGCCTCCATGGTCCCCCATTTAATCCATGAAAAATCTGTTCCAAAGATAACATTCAGATGTAAATGTGGAAAATTTGTTCTGAAGACAAAGTTCAGATTTAAATGCAAATTTCAGCCTATGAATCAAGTGTGTTAATCAAAATATTTAGCAAAAAATACAGTATGGACTTCTGACAATTGGAATGGAGGTCAGCCATGAACAACTAATGGCAGTACATGTTGGTCTTCTTAGAATATTCTCCATGGACTGTCATTGTATGATTCTTGTAGAACGCAACTGAAATCTAGATTGATAGGTAAAAGCATTGGCAACCTTAATGAACATTGTCTAATAATAGGAAATAAGTCTGTTCTGTGGCTCTGATAAATATAATTTTGGCTTAAAATTTTATTTTGAATATAGCAATGTTTAATTTGGTCAATTTTTATTACACTGAAAGATCTTAGTTAACATTATTACTTCTTTTCTAATAGTGGCTAGCATTCAGAAGCTTCCTGCAGCCTCTGTTCTAACAGACATCAACTTCCCAATGAAAGGACGAAAGGGAATGGTTGACTGGGCAAGAAACTCAGAAGACAGAGTAGTCATTCCAAAAAGCATTTTTACTCCTGTGTCATCATCAAAAGGTAAATATGTGAAATAATTTGAGCTTTGAACCAAACAGTTATAATATGGTAATTTAATAGTGCAATAGATATAAATCTGCTTGTGTCAAACAACTTAGTAACAGTCTACAATCATGAATCTAAGCTAATTTTGTAAACATAGAAAACTTACATTTGGTCTTTAAATCTGAATTTAATGGAGGAAAGGACTCATTAAAATAGAAAAAAAGAAATACGAGTGCAAATTATAGACCTAAGCTTGGCATGGTTAGGTTTCAATATTGACAGTTTCATCCCAGAGTAGAGCACGTGGCATAGTTTAATTTTAGGTATGGAAACATGTTGCATTTTCCACACAGTCATTTCTTATTTCTTCCTCACTTTTGCTTTGGTTTGTAGATATTATTTTGGTATATAAAAGCAAATTTAAGAAAAAAAAATTAAGTTTTAAGAACATCTTCAGTAGCCTCTAAAGTTAATGGCTACTTTTGATAGTGACATTGTAGTCTTGTTTTTTACCTTGGAGATTTTGACCTTTAGCTTGGGTCCAAAAGAATATTGTCTCTCTTTTCCCATATCATTGGGAATTGAAACTCAGCTGCAACTACAGTAGCCTCTTCAGCCTGATGAAGGAAGGTTACTTCTTCATATGACAGAAAAGCACTGAAAACACATCTTTTTGAGCTACCATTAATATGTATGGTGTGTGGGCTAATCTGTCTAATGCATGGTTAGGAAGGCATTTCTTCTATTCAACTTTGCATCAGCAAGTACTGGAATCCCCTTGTAATGAGCAGATTACAAATTTTATAAGACAGTATTTTTCTTGTCACTTCACTAATATTTTTAATTTCATTTTTTCTAGAATTAGATGAATCATTGGTATTTGTTCTTGGAGCAGTCCTGTACAAAAACTTAGATCTAATTTTGCCCACTTTGAGGTAAGCTGCAAAGTAATAAGCTGTTACAATCTTTGTAAATTATTCCAAAAATGTGATTATAGCTCATTCTATGAAAATAGTCAAACAAGCTTTGTTAATACAAAGGGCTCTTTCTTAAATTAAATAGAAAATACCCATTTAATGAACAGCTTATTAGCATATTATGCACTTCAAAACAACTAGAAAAGACAATTTTGGTCTCTGATTATACCCCTGCAATTCTTTTGTAACTAATCATGACTTGCCTTAAGACTGAGAGAAAAAAAAAAAAAAGTAAGAAAAAGAAAAAACTCATCTCTGTAATAGAATGGGTTGTTTTAAAATTAATCTGTCTTCTCTCTTTATTTGCACTTAATGGTACTGTTCATCAACATTACATGAAATGAAAGGAGTGCCATGATGACTGGGAATGAATGCTTTGTTCTTCACTTGCATAAGATCTCAATTTGCCTCTAAATAAATATTCAATTATAGCTACATTAAGAAAAAATGCTGTTGTTAAATTGAGGACTATTTTTGGAAGAAATCCATTGATTTCTTTCCTCCCAGACATAAAAAGAAACAATTACACATAGTAATTCCACGAGCATTAATTTATTTGCTCTATTGTCTTAATTACTTTCCCTGATCTCACAGAAAATATCATTCCCACCTACTTGGGTAGTGATGCCATCACTCATGATGACCTATTTCCTCTACCCCATCTCCTTCTGGAGGACTGAGACCAAGTTGGTAGTTGTTGCTGTTGTTGTTTGTTGTTGTTGTTATTTTTCTCTTAAACACAGCCACATTTGCAGTGAGTTCTTACACCCTTCTGAATAAAACTTCAAATTTTTAGAGGGGAAAGACTGTGAATGATGTGTACAGTTATACCAGAAGCATAACAAATAGTCTCATAAATAAACACAATGAGAGCAGTCCAGCAGAAAAAATGGGCTTGCAAGGAAACAACTAAGTTTTCTGCAACAGCAGTAACTAGTCTTGATTCTTTGGAGAAAATCTTCCCATGTGCAACAAATTATTAATATGGTCAGTAAATCTCTAGCTGCAATGCAGGTTCTTCTTCAACCAAAGAAGCACAGAGACAACTTATGGGAAGTTGAGTTTTCTTTAACTCCCTTCTTCCCTGGATGGAATTTGGACTTTCTGAATTTTAATCAGATCTGTGCCTGTTTGCTTTTGTTCTATCAATAACAGATTTTCAAAACTAATGAGTTTACTCTCCACTTGGCCGCTGGTTTTGCTAAAATGCATTGGAATGCACAATTACAGATAAATGGATTTAGAGTTATACTCCCTCTAACATTGTGTATGGTATTCATTTGAAAAGAAATGTACTAAAGTTAAATGTACCCAGATACTCAAAGTTAGGCCCTTATTTCCATAGGGAATTCATTTGTATGAAGCTAATCTTTCAAGAACTCTAGATTAGACACTAACTTAAAATCAGATGACTAGGATTTTCATTTTAATTTCACATAACAGGAAATTTATAAACTTATTCAGTAATTCAGAAATTGTCTGCCTTCAGTTCAACTTTAAAATATAAGCACCTTAAAAAATAAACAAACTAACAAAACTAACTAAATAAATAAAACATAAGTCCCTTGATGTGCAATATTCATCCTATTTGCTGCTGAGGGATAGAGTGAATGCAAATGAAATATTCAACATAAAATGCTTTAGATTGTGAATTAGTTTATCTCCTACATGTCTAACAAAGTTGCATTATGATTAATCTTGTTTTGCATAATACCACAGAAGTCACTCACACAACTGAAGTCAGATTATGTCATGTTTCATAACCTTATGGTCAAGGGAATTGAATATTTGGGGTAATCTAATGAGTATGTTATGAGTGATTTAATGGCTAAAGCAGGGAATAATCCAGAGCAGTGGTTCCCCCAATACCACCTGAGACAAAAACAGATTCAGATTAGTTTGGGGACAAGTTGTTGACTTCTTTATATGTAAATTGTGGGGTTGAACTTAAAAGTTCTTTCCAACTTAAAAAATTCCTTGTCTTTATTGCAGTAAAATAGAATTGTGCAGTTCTGACATATTCTTTAAAGTCCTAAACAACCTTTATATAAGAAATGGGCTAATGTGAGTATATATACCCACTTATGCTTTCCATGTATAAAATAATTAGGTAAATGACTATAGGAAAACAATATTCATATTTAGATTTATTGACCAGGAACAATAACAATGGAATGCTCAGAATGAAATGTTAAATACTACTTGAAAGGTGAAGTATTAGCATTTACTTCTCATTTTCTTTTATTTTATACAGTGAAATAAAATAAAGAAGCATTCTCAGGCTTGTTTTATTTTCTTCTCCTTTTCAAAAGGCTACTCAACTTTCCAGAAAGTTGAATTAGTAACCGTACCAATGACAGACCTGCTAAATAAGAGAAGTAAGCCCTTTAGAGGACAAGGGTAGTGTCTTTGTTTTAGTCACTGAACAAATATTTACTAAGCAGCAACTCGGCTAACCTTACTGTCTGAATTCTTTTAAATCTTCTCTACTATCGAAATTCCATGACAGTGTTTAATAAATAATAAAGGTCCAAGTAACATTTACTGGAATAATTATCTTATCTGATAGAATATTCTACATAAGCCATTTTTAAAATAATAGGCATTTAGTGTACATACCATACAAATATCTTAGGAACAGAAAAATACATATATTTTGTTGTTTTACTTATAAATTGGACTGTGTGAATTGAACCCAATAGGAAAGAATAATCTTCCAATTCAACATGAAAAAATACACAAATTTGCTCTTTATATTTACTTATTATTTACCAAATTTTCATGACACATTTTCCTGAGTGATTATTTTACTAATTATCTGTTCAAACTATTGGAGCCAAGTTTCCCATACACTGAATAATGTTAAGCTTGCTGTTAAGTTTCTAGAAATTTTATATTTTGATGTAATCATTTTCAAAACAATACTTTGCATAATTTCTCTCATGGGGACTAGAAAGGAGAACTTGATGTAATGTTTTGAATAGATATAATTTAGAAATTTTCCTTTATACATAGGCATAAATAACTTTGCATGTTGACTCTTTTATTTAGAGATTTCTTTTCTTTTCTTGCCCTACTATGCATTCAACTATTCTTCGAGCTGCAATTTTTATTTTGCTGTTTGATTATCTTCCCTTTTACAATTAAGTAGATTCAGATTGTCCCTTTAACTGAAGGAATATGCTCTACTTAAGTACAAACTAAATGTGTGCTGTTCTTAGCCTTCCACTTTTATCCCTCTTAGAATAATTTTCTATAGCCAAAAAGTATAGAACCAGATTATTTAGTGCTGCAAGGTCCTTTAAAGGTTAGTACCATCTAGAATTCTAATTTTTCTCATGAGAAACTGACCTCCTTATTAGTTCAGTGACCTTATCCAAGACTAAATGTACAGTAGGTGACTGAGTTCTAATCCAACTCAAGTCTTCTCTGCCAAAACCAGGACTCTTCCACTGCCTTGCTGCCTCTACAATGCCAGTATTGATTCTTTTGAGCACTACAAACTGTGCACTTTGATATTAATGTGAATACATATTATTCAGAACATCTTCTAAGGTTAAGGAGAAAGTGACCGTGTATGAGCAAACTCAAGGATACTTGGGTGTCAACTTGGTGACCCCAACCCAGGCTACTGACATCAAGGTATGAGGCTATCATTCTTCCTAGCCCCTCATCACCATTTTGGGGGCTAAGATGAGGGCTGGCCAACAAAGGCCAGAGGGTCTTTTGGGAGAGGCGAGGCCACCCACATGTAGCCCCCACTCAAGTCAAGAAATTAAGAACTACACACAACCTGGCAAGCTCCCAAACTTCTGGTGAGGATTTTTAACTGTAATAACCTTTTGGTAAGACAATCTGGCAATAGCAAGAGGCTTTAAAAATGCATTGTCATTGATTACAGCCACTTCTAGGAATTTGTGTTATAGAAATTATCTCTAAGGGAAAAAAAAAGTGTATCCAATCATACCCTCAAGCTAGAGCTCGAGAAACAGTTTAAACATCCTATTTTCTGATTCATTTAATAGTCAGATTCCAGTCTTACAGGAAATCACAATACTTTTGAGTATAGGAACAATGTATAGTTTTCCTGTAGGACATGTGCAAGGTATAGTCCTATAAAAAAAAAGCATTTTAATGTAGCTATTAACATTCACAATATTGTAAAGGATCTAATTAAAATTATATGCAAATTTCACTATAGTATTAAAATGCCAGAAAAAATACAGATGGACAAAAAGCAACAATGTTCTCATAAGCCAGTAGTGGTCTGAATTATCTTTCAAAAAGGGAAAAAAATAATTTGAGTAATGCAAAACCACATTAATTTTCTGTCAGGTGTACCAACCTAATAGAGATAAATGACATGGAATATATTTCATATTTAGCAAATGGAACTCATTTGAGTTCGTATATTATAGGAATTAAAAGCAAATGGGAAAAGCAATTGAACTAAATCATATTAGAAATAATCAAAAAATGAAAACATAATTACTTTTAAACCAATACATTCTGAAGGCATTCAACCTCAAATTCTTGAGTTCTCTTAAGAGCACCTGTACTTCAGTTTCAGGACCTAAGCTTTGGATCTTGCTTCTTCATTCTGAGTTTTCAATAACATATTGTAGTTTTATGATGTCCTGTATCTTTTTATAATATCCTATTGTGAGGACACCAGAAATTAAATTATCTGTGGGAATAACAAATTTGCATAACTAATATTATAAAATATTATTATGCATTCAGTATATTATTTACAAAAATCTGAGTTTAATTTGGCTATAACTTTTTTTTATAACTTTTGAAAGAGAATTTAAATCTCTGATCACTTCTTTGTAGTTCTAGGTGTTACATCCCTTAGTAAGCCTACCTTGAAATTCTAATTAGTTTTAAAGCTCTAAATTAGCTCAATCCTACTTTTTAGCAACCATCAGCTGATTTTAGTTTTAAAAGCAAATATA